GGTTTCTCAGTTATGTAAACTGTTATACACAAGTAGGTATTGGTTTTCCCAGTTATGTAAACTTTCATCCATAAGTAGTTATTGGTTTCCCAGTTACGTAAACAGTTATACATAAGTAGTTATTGGTTTCCCAGTTATGAAAACTTTTATCCACAAGAAGTATTGGTTTTCCCAGTTATGTAAACTTTCATCCATAAGTAGTTATTGGTTTCTCAGTTATGTAAATTGTTATACACAAGTAGGTATTGGTTTTCCCAGTTATGTAAACAGTTATACATAAATAGTTATTGGTTTTCCCAGTTATGTAAACAGTTATACATAAGTAGTTATTGGTTTCCCAGTTATGTAAACTTTCATCCATAAGTAGTTATTGGTTCCCAGTTATGTAAACAGTTATACACAAGTAGGTATTGGTTTCCCAGTTATGTAAACTGTTATACACAAGTAGGTATTGGTTTCCCAGTTATGTAAACTTTCATCCATAAGTAGTTATTGATTTCCCAGTTATGTAAACAGTTATACACAAGTAGGTATTGGTTTCCCAGTTATGTAAACTGTTATACACAAGTAGTTATTGGTTTTCCAGTTATGTAAACTTTCATCCATAAGTAGTTATTGATTTCCCAGTTATGTAAACAGTTATACACAAGTAGGTATTGGTTTCCCAGTTATGTAAACTTTCATTCATAAGTAGTTATTGGTTTTCCCAGTTATGTAAACAGTTATACATAAGTAGTTATTGGTTTCCCAGTTATGTAAACTTTCATCCATAAGTAGTTATTGGTTTCCAGTTATGTAAACAGTTATACACAAGTAGGTATTGGTTTCCCAGTTATGTAAACTTTCATCCATAAGTAGTTATTGGTTTCTCAGTTATGAAAACTGTTATACACAAGTAGTTATTGGTTTCTCAGTTATGAAAACTGTTATACACAAGTAGGTATTGGTTTCCCATTTACGTAAACTTTTATCTCCAAATAGGTATTAGTCATGTCCGAAACTTTGTTAAATAAAACTGATTTATTTGTTTGGATTATCTATATTATGTAAATTAGGAACAAAATTTGATCAATATTTATTTCCGAACTATGATATTCTTCCGTACTTTTTTTTTCAGTTCTTTAAGGGGGAAAATCCTAAAGAACAATGTCAAATTGTGTGTTGAATTACGATTCAGAAAATCCTTCCCGCTCCCCAAAACCAAGAAATCTTGCATGTAGTCATTGAACTGACGTTATAGTGTTTGGATATGGCTTGAATGGGTAGTGATAGATACTTTATTACAAATGTTTCGAGAAGCTTGTGTTATCATTAGGTACAAGTTGATGACATAAGCTTGTCAAAACGTTGTACATTTGTAACAAAGTATCTTTTATTACCCTTTCCAGCCGTCCCCAATATTTATTTTCTAAAATTTGGGGTCCTCGTTATCAAATTTCGAACTTTCTTCTTGTTTTGTTAAATTTGCTTTATAATACAGGGTGTCCAAAATGTCTGGATCCATAGGGGATTTGCAACTTTTCTTAATTTAAGATACATGACTGATTATGGGGCTGTCAAACCATGAGAAGGTCGAGTTAATCGTACTTTTAATCCAAACTTGTTTCGAATTACAAGGACAGCATATGGAACACATTCTGTAAAATTCGTTAGTGCCTATGGTTGTAGATTTTTTGGACACCTTGTATATTGTAAAGGTGACATTCATTAGTGAAGGAATGATCAATTTTGGAAAAAAGTTTGTAAAATTACCGTTTCGCTATTGTTTTAATTGTGGTTAGGATTTTACCCCTGTTCTAGAATTGTCCAAAGCGTTTCGGTCTGTTTTTCATCCAACGTAAAACGTTCTAACAAAGAACAAGGGGTCTGTATCGTTTATCAATTTTGAAAAGTTGATTTGTTCTGACAGTAGCTCATTTCTAAGTAGTCTTGATAAAGTTTATAAACTAGACTTGGTAAAGTTTATAAACTAAATTAGTTTTTATCTAAATATAATCTATCTACGTTTTCAACTGTTTGGATGCTCCCGATCAATTGTCCCCCCCCCCCCCCAACACCAGTGACTCAACGGTAAGTCTAAAGGCTTATAACGCTAAAAACGGTCTCAGTATTTGAGGTGGGAAGAGCACAGATAGCCCATTGTGTAGCTTTGTGCTTCAAAACAAAGAAAGAAACTAACCGATGAGGATTTGAAAACTTTAGGCTATCGTAATACTATTTTTTTGTTTTATTAGAGCAAAGCTACATTGGGCTATCTACTGTGTTCACCGCGCGGAATCGATCCCCGGATTTTAGCGTTATACGTTCATAGACTTACCGCTGTCCCACCGGGGGACCGAGTTGTGTTAGTGTGAGTTATATATCAACTTATGGATTTTCAGACCTCGGTAAATTCTTCGTTAGGAGAAAGTTTGTTATCGATAGGGAAGAGGCTACAAAATTGAAAACATACATAGGATAACGAACTAAGAACTTTTATAATAGATGAAAACATACGTAAGATAACGAACTTAGATCTTTTATAATAGATGAAAACATACGTAGCATAACGAACTAAGATCTTTTATAATAGATGAAAACATACGTAGGATAACGAACTAAGATCTTTTATAATAGATGAAACATACGTAGCATAACGAACAAAGATATTTTATAATAGATGAAAACATACATAGGATAACGAACTAAGAACTTTTACAATAGATGAAAACATACGTAGCATAACGAACTAAGATATTTTATAATAGATGAAAACATACGTAGGATAACGATCTTTTATAATAGATGAAAACATACATAGGATAACGAACTAAGATCTTTTATAATAGACGCTATATTTAGAAAGTTGATAGGTCTAGTGAGGTAAAGTAATCAACAAATACCGTAATTCAACCAAGAGGTGAAGTAATAAGTTCACAGATACTCCTGTATTATTATATAAGGTAGAAGGTGGGGGGAAGAGTGAAATATCACCATAAACACACCGTGTAAAAATACACGTTAAGCTTAAGGCATTTATAAAGAGCAAAAACGTTTCACCAAGTTAAATATTTTGGAAACTAAATACTTTTAACATGATGTACTTGGCTTGTCTTCGTTCTTAGAGTTTTAAACAAAAGTCACTTTTTTGCCAATATTTTAAATTATTCTCATGAATCTGAAGAGTTGCCAATGAAACTTGTAGTTGTAGCTTGGATGATACACCTCGCATATCAAATTTTTAAGTTTCTAAGATATTTGATTTATCAGCTTTCGATGGCTGAATGATTTTGATCATCATGGTTAACTTAGGGATAATCTGTACTTTTACCCAGAATGCTTATGATGGTATTTTTTCCTTGCCAAGAATGGCATGTAAAAATAAATATTATGTACAAAAGTCAATGTGCCTTAAGTTGGCCTACTCTTACGATCAGCGACCTTACCCAATTCGTTAGATTGCTTGTATCCACTTCTTTCTTCTATTTTTATGTAATATTTCGTTTGGGAATTTATAAAAATATATTGTCTTTTGAATACAAATTCCTTCATCCAACCACTCAACAATTCCGTTTGCTCGATTATTTTTCTCGACTGTTGTATCATTTGACTAACGTTATTATCCACCTTTCTTAGTCTACTCTCAATAACTCGTGAGTGAGCCACCAGGGCCGCGCCACAGTCTGCTAAGGTAGACTGCATGTACCGACTACGGACAAATAATAGTTGAACTGCTATTAAAGAACTTTTCTGGCAGAAACCGTTCTCGGCTACTTCTAACTGAATTATTAAATCCTTGCAATGATCATTTGATATTCCATCTGGTTGTATTAGCATTAATATACTAAGTTAAGTAACAAAATACATTTTATTTGAACTGATGCTCACCAGGAGTACCGTAAAAAAATTTACTGAAATAACACTTATGCACACCTGTGGTTTATAAATTCAACATATATTCGGTGTTAATCACCAGGAGGAGTAAAACGACTAAAAGGGCAACAGTCTATTAATGTGATTCGTCAAACATTCATTATTATTCTTTGTTACTAACTAGGAAATGTAAAAGAAAAAAATAAAGGCAAACACTTGGAAAACACTAGTTGACGAACCTAATCTAATAGTTTAATGTTTTGATTACAAACCTTTTTCTTACGTAGATGTACGTTTAGCTTAGGCCTACATGTCTAATAAAAAATATAAAGACCCAACGTTTGGTATATAAGTGATGTAAACTGCAGGTGTTTTCTCCAAGTTTTAATTCTAAGCCTGTGCGATATTTTACTGTTAGGCCTACTTTGTTTTAATGAAGTGAATCTACATTTGTTTATTAAATTTGAATCATATTAAGGCTCAATAACAATAAATAGCCCCAAACCTGTAAGTTCTACAGGCAATGTTACTGTGGATAGTCATAAAATTTTGGATAAGTGTGTGCACTATTTCCTCTAGTCAAAGAGTACGTCATATTCTGCCATTTTGACTTTTCGATCAGAACTCTGGAAACGCCAATTATCTTGTTTATCGATTTTATTTATCTTTCAGTGACAGAGAACGACCGATTTGAAGACGAGTATTACAGGGCGATTGCTGTAAACGTTGTTAAAGAACTTCTTTTGCAACGAAAGAAGAAACACGAAGGAAAAAAGAGAACGCCATTTGCAAAAAGTGCCCTACGCCTACAGTCGAGTCTTTCGAAGAAGGGAACTACCGGTCGACGTTCGAATAAAATTGAGAATATTGAAAATGTCAACATTAACAAACAAACATTAAGTATTTTTGTATAAAATACTACTTATACCTAAATAATTATGTTGAAATTTTATCTGTTATTCTGTTATCTTAGTCTCAAGAAAAAGTATATAATATTAGCTTCCGATTAGAGTAAGGTATGTATTTTGAGTGAAACTTAGAAACCAACCAGGCAGTCAGTATAGATAATTAAATATTCTTTTCTTACGTTTTTACTTATAAAGATAAGAATGCATTGTTTCATCAGTTGGGTACCATCGTTATTAACGATATTTTCGGCCGTAATCCCAATAATATCACACGAAGTTCAGCCAACTTACTAGATTAAAGTTAGTTCTATATACATATATAAACTAACAATACAAAACAATCTCTATACTATAAATAAAAAATATTAAATTAAAAAGTAATGACTTTCGATACATCAAATAGCATAACCAACAATTATGCAAGCAGCAATAAATAAATAAATAATATAGTATACCGTACTTGGGTACTTTAAGTAGAAATGACACTTTTATTCTGCGACTTGTAGAGCTACCACTGTTAAACCTTAAGGTTTGTAATAATGACTTTTCCATGCAATGATATCTATAACGTAATATTGTTGTGAATATTGTCATATAAACCTGTGTACTTCTTCGTAAGGTTTGAAGCTCTAGCTTTCTAGTTGTGGTTTCACAACAAGTGGTAATATAGATGAAAACACGAATCTTCATACCGGGTAGGTTCACAAAAAATTATTGTTATACTTGATATGTAAAATATGTTTCCAGCAGTGGCCTAAAACAGACACAATATAATAAATTATTCTTCTGAATATTTCGCTATTGCGTCAGCAATAGAGTAAAATACTAACATTACTCGCAGTCTTGAGGTGATATTTTTTCACACTTATTATTGTAAAACGGTTTATGTTTTGTTAGATTTGACCTTTGTACACCATCTACCCTCTTTATCTTACAGAAACGAGATTCGTGGAATGAGGAAACTCCGGAGGAGATCCCAGAAAAAGTTGTGAATCTCGTGGAATCATTGCTGAAAGAAGCAGATTTCAAGAAAGACTGGGACAAGAAAGAATTAGAAACACCAGCTCATCCTTACATAAATATCTCTTTTAATATTTGGGATTTCTCTGAAGAGATTTTTCATCTTCTTCCTCATCAGGTGGGAATGCAAATCATAACGAGGTGAACAATTCTATTTCACAGAAAAGTCATATTCATAATACAGATTCACAGTTTGTTTATTTAGTACTTTACTACAACTAATTATCGAAACACCAATCGATCTTGTATCGCGAGTAGCAAATAAACGCACCTTAAAAGTGGTGAATTATGAATTATAGTTTTTAGAGAAAGAGACATGAATGTTAAGGCCAATAATTTATACCAAAAGTTTTTATTGAGGTAGTCTTTATTTATTTTGATATAAAACTGTTTTTGGGTTATACATGAACTATTTGAACTCGAACCCCGACTTGTGGAGTTGTAAGCAGTAAACTTACCGCTGCTGTACCGGGAAACTAATATAAAATACCTTTAAAGAGAAGTAAAAAAAATACTAAAACGTTTTCGACAAATGAAACGAAGCATAGTTTTGATTTAAGTACGATGCTAGCTAAAACATGTCCTATCAAACATCAATAATTATATGTTATCTCTGGTTCAATTTAAAATCTGCATTTTCTAACCGAACAGGCCTAAACTTTGTGATAAAAATCACGTAAAACGCAGAAGTTGTTTATTTTTAAACATTTCTCGTAATTTGTGTTTTGCGGATTCATTATCAGAGGGCGTGTGAAAGTAGAATTTCATATCCATATTTTGTCTCCCACAAGTCATTGCTCAATGAGCAAATTAAGAAGAATGTGGCGAAAAAAACTTATTTTAGGCAATTGATTTCTGATGTTTCGACAGCCTTTGGTGATTAAGCCGTAATATGCATTTTGCGTTAGATTGTTTGTTTGTAGTTAAGTACAAAACTACACAATGAGCTATCTGTGCTGTGCCCGCCACGGGTATCGAAACTCAGATGTTAGCGTTATAAGCCTTACCTCTGAGCCGCTGGGGACTGTATGCTAGAAAATTACAATATCGTTGTACAAGTTCTATTGTTTATTAATGTAAAACAGTTAGAAAAAAACAATAACGTCAGATAATCACAATATCGTTTTACAAGTTCTATTGTTTATTAATGTAAAACAGTTAGAAAAAACAATAACGTCAGATAATCACTATATCGTTGTG